AAAACTCTTTTGGATACGTCTGCTTTTTTTCCATTTTTTTCCCTTTTTTCCTTTTACTTTATTTCCTTTCCTCACTATTCCTACAGATCACTTCCGTTTTCTTTAACCATATAAATAGGTCATGGTTAGGTCACTCCTCCTATCCCAATATAAAGCTTATTTAAGAGAGATGTAAATTTAACCCTCCCTATACTTTGTATTGTCTCTTTAACCGCCACCTTCACCCTCCCTGTTGAATTAAAAAAATTACACTACCCATCAATTTCTAATCCCATTTTTCCTCGCATTTCATTGTTGGAAGTGTTACCTGATGATCCGAAATCCTTTAAAAAAGATTTGGGTGAAATAAATTATTGTGGTCTTTCTTCATAAAATATATATATATATATATATATATATATAGTTTACAATTGGAATTACGATACCTTTAGTAAATGTCCATTTTCACCTACGAATTTTAATTTTATTTTTTAATCCAATATATATATATATATATATATATATATATATATAGAGAGAGAGAGAGAGAGCAGAGATAGATAGATAGATACATACATACATACATACATGGAGAGAGAATTTTTGTAGCCTGATATATAATCACATACACAGACACAGACTCAGACACACACACACACACACACACACACATATATATATATATATATATATATATATATATATATATATATATATGAGAATATGCATATATGTATTAAATACATCAATTAATCAAATGTGCGTCAAAGAGAGCAACTCAGTAAAAAAAAAATGAACAGTAATCAAATGTAAAATGTCGAGAAAAAAAATAAAAGAAAAATATTAGAAATAGAAAAATAAGATTTGCGCGCGGCATTCACACTTATTTTTCCGGTTTGCATGGTTGGCCTATAATTCTGTGTTCCTCACATTACTTGAATATTGTTTTTACGCATGAACCTGACAGTAGCAGAAAAAAAAAAATTCAGTGTGCGCGTAAAGTTTATTTCTGATATACAGGAAGCAATGGGTAAATTGTCGCCATTTTATATTTTAAATTTTGCGTATGCGCATTATTTTTGATTTTTTTGATTTTTTTTTTTTGATTTTGTTGTTTGAACAGTATATTAGGGTCAGTGGGGTACCATCTGTGAGAAAACGAGCACTGTGACGCAATTCATTCCACCAGAAATTTGGAAATGGTATGCTGTACTGCTTCAGAGTGTTTGTGTGTCAAGTGCCTTGAAGATGTAGTGCTACCCTGGGTGAAAAGAGTGGATGCTGGAAGACCCTATGTCTGCCAACAGGACCCTGCACGAGCAGGAGAACCCAGTCATGGCTGCTAGAAAATTTATGCATCAACCCTTACATCTGGCCACCTCATTCCACAAGCTGCAACCCCCTTGATTATTATGTGTGGGTCGCGGTTATAAAAATGGGTAAAACTGTTGAAATATATCGAGTTTTATTTTAAAGGTATATCGGCACCCCATGTATAGACTTCTTTGTGGAGTTTCGTGAGGCTGGGTTTTTAATTCAGAATTGTCTTTATTCTAGACTGGGTGCCAATTATGGCCAAAGATCCTTGTATGCGCTGCTATTTAACCTAAAGCTGAACAGAGAAGACATAGATCCATGATTTTCCTAAGGCTATTTGTGGAAAAGTGAATGTAATGAACTCGACCAGAATTCAAACTCAGTTCTCTCCTATTTCTCATCCCAAACCGGTAACTGTTACGCTACCTGCTATATTCATAAACCAACATATCAGTCGTTCTCACATCTGATGAATCAGACAAAGCGATATCAATTATCAGAATTATAATGGAGTTTGATAGTGTGTGCCATACTTATGTTAGATTCATTTTCTGAAAATACGGAACATTTAACTACGGTGTCGTATGTGTACCCGGAATATATAACTGATGAAATGCATTGTCACGTGACGGGAACAGAATTGTCTGCAGTAACAGACAAGTGACACTGACTCAAATAACATCTACATTCAATGCAGGGGACATATTCAACAGGCCAGTTCGGCATTTTTAGCTTCTGTGGTTCTATAGTAACAGAAGATCCACCAGTATCGCCCTGTTAACACCATGACACCGGACGTGATGCCACCAACGTGACCCTGTGTGGAATGATTCAGTGCGTCACGGTTACAATTGAGGGTTGATGGTAGATTTTGGTTTTGGTGCAAACCCCAGTACGCCATCGACACCACTTGTCAAAAAATCTGATGCATGATGATTATTCAATGGTGCGTAATGTGTTCATTAATATATATATATATATATATATATATATATATATATATATAACAAAGGTAATAAATCTGTTGGTATATGATCCAAGTGGATCCTAGTAATATAAAATGTTAAACTGATCCACAAAGAGCTCAATGTATTTATTATTATAGAGCAAATAATTAATAAACAATAAAATCCAAAATCACCTCATCTGAAGTATAGCCTATTTCGGCAGACGAAAACACCTGTTGTATGTCTCATAAAGCCCGGCGTTAACTGAGTTCGTGTCAGAAATAGAAATTTAACTGTGAACGCTAAAAAAAAAGAACAGTCGAAAAACTAATACAAAATTTATCCATTTCAATATCTCAGTCAGACGAAAGGCACAAGGCAGGTGTCAGGGGGGGTGAGAGGTATTAGTCTTAAAGGGAAGAAGTTTTATAAAATTAAACCCGAATATTAACCTTATGACATTAATTTCGGGTTATATGAAGAGTGAAATATTAATTTCAAATAAAAAGAGGAATAAAAGGAGGTTTTAAAATAACTTTAAAATATATAAAATAATAGGATGGATTAATGGATTAATGGAAAGAAATTTGGTGAGATCTCAGAGGAGGGGAAGTTTATAAAATATAAATATAGTGTAAAGAGGTATAGAGTGTCGGGGGGGAATAGAAATTAAAATTACTTATATTTTCGATATTTGAATAGTTAGAGGGAGTAAATATTATTCAACTCCATCACTTGATAAGACACCAGTTGAAACAAAATAGCTATTTTGTAGCGATTTTATAACATATTTGTTATAATTTTCGAATAAATTATATATATATATATATATATATATATATATATATATATATATATATATGTATGTATGTATGTATGTATGTATGTATTCACGCCATACATGAATATGTGTTACAGATTTGAGAAAGCTTAAGTCCTGTAGTAAATTGTAATTGTAGTAAATGAATAAAAATTGTTAACTTTTCTATTCGGTATTTGTTTTCAATTATATTATCAGGTCATCCCATAAGTTCTGTCCGAATTTTAACTTTTTGTTAAAATGAACAAAATTTAAAGAGTATTTTATAATGTCTAATGGAGCTGAACATTATTTTTATGTTTAGATGCATTTAAACTGATCAAATTTTTTTCAGAGAACAATAAAATTAAATTTTGTTTGATTAAAACCCTGCTAACATGGAAGTACCCAAGAATCATTTGAGGCACATAATGCTTTATGAGTTCAAGAAAGGAAACTCAGCAGCCGAAGCGGCTAGAAACGTTCACTCAGTTTATGGAGAGGAATGTGTGAATGAAAGAACTTGCAGAAGATGGTTTGCAAAATTCAGAGGTGGAGATTTCACCCTTGAAGATGAAGATCGAACTGGACGTCCAGTTGAGTTTGATGAAAAAGCTTCTTGAAGCAGCCCTTGAAGAAAATCCTGCTTTATCAGTTGAGGAATTGGCAGTGGTTCTCAGTTCAAACCATACAACTGTTCATCGGCATCTTCAACAACTTGGAAAAGTTCCTAAACTTGGAAAATGGGTGCCTCATGAATTGTCTGAAAACAACCTCAAATCCCGAGTTGACATCTGCTCTTCTCTCCATTATCGCCAACTTGTTTTACCTTTTTTGGATAGACTTGTGACTGGCGACGAAAAATGGATCTTTTATTGAAATGTTAAGCGTCGTAGACAGGGGAAGGACCCCAGCCACAGCCGAGAAGGAAACTTCATGGACAAAAGATTCTTCTTTCAATCTGGTGGGATCGCCAAGGAATAATCCACTTTGAATTCTTACCACCTAATGCAACAATTAATGCTCAAATATACTGTCAGCAATTAGAGCGTTTGAACCAAGCTTTGAGGAAAAAAGACCTGCTCTAGTGAATCAAAAAGAGGTGATGTTTCATCAGGACAATGCGTGACCCCACACAGCAAGAATCATGTCACAAAAGATCGAAGAACTTGGTTGGGAGAAAATTCCTCATTCACCTTATTCTCCCGATCTTGCTCCTTCAGACTACCATTTGTTTCGTAGCTTACAGAATCATTTGGAAGAAACAGCTTTTGTAACACAGGAAGAGGTTAAAACTGACATTTGTGAGTTCTTCGAATCAAAGCCAAAAGAATTTTACAGTAATGGAATTAGTAAGCTTGTTAATAGATGGAATGAAGTCATAGATAATCAGGGAAAATACATTGTTGATGGAATCTGTAATTAAATGCAACATTTGGTCACTTGTTTTCTTTATTCAAAATTCGGACAGAACTTATGGGATGACCTGAGGGATATTTTCAGAAAAACTCACTTCTTTTACAAATGTCTTTTACAAACGTCTTTTTTATGTGGATGCTTGGAATGTTTTGAGAAAATTCTTGAGGACTTCTTGCTGTAATAGCTATCGAGTATGAGGTTTACATTGACAGACGAGAACCATATTTATTTGGATAGAACAAACCAATGCAAGATCAACGAACTCGCTCCCCCCCCGCGCGCCCCCCCGGATGAAGACAGAGATAACTCCACCCGGCGATAGCTATCTGGAATGCAACATTATCACGAAATTACACGTACAGACGTAAAAGTTGAATTGTTTTACGTCTCTCTCTCTCTCTCTCTCTCTCTCTCTCTCTCTCTCTCCAGACGATATGCATGACGCTTGTTTTGTGCTTTTGTTTTTAAACGTGATCCCTCAGTAGACACAGAGAACAAACGTGAGATTATATTTTGCTATACGTCATCATTGCTTTGTTCGTTGAAACACCGGTTCTAGTACGATCACCGAAGTAAAGCAACGCCGAGCCTGGCCAGTACCGAGATGAGTGACCGTTTGGAAATACCAGCTAAGCTAGTAATGCGGATAGTGTAGTAGAAAGCGTCTCGGAATTGAAATTGTAGAACCAAGTTCCAATTCAAATCGGGTTCATTATATCTACTTATGCGTAAATAACCTTGGGAAAGATATTTATCCACCCCTCCCCCAGCTATGGGTTAAGTTAGTAGGACTTGTATCGGTAAATCATTATTATCGCCCAAAAATTCTTACAATCTAAACATATTTTCAGCTTTAAATAACCTACAAACAATTGATACGCCATAAATAAAACATATCAATCAATCATTGCTTTGTTTTTCTGTGAGGATATAAGAAAGAAACAAGATTCAATGTTGGCGCTGTAAGTTTTGATTGACAACGCTTTCTTTCAGCTGTGTCCCAATAGATTAGCGACAACAGTATTCGATTTGAAACACAACAGTAGTTTAACTTGACTAACGTCATCTTTTTGATTTTATTAGTCACAAAAACAAACAATAAACTCCCATATACCAATAAGACAATCCAATATGGCGACCCAATCACATGCAACTTTGTTTAACATTTTCACAGGTTTGTATTGTGTTTCCTGAACGTGTGTAGGTATTTAAAAAGTGTACTTCCGGTGTCACTTCTGTATCTACGTCATGTTGATTTTGACCGGGGAACTACCTTAGGAAATAAAACACTTTTCTTTTGTGTTTCTTTGGGATGACATTCTCATATACACAGACACATATACATACAGGTATATGCATTTTAGTTCGTACAAACACACCCATATAAATAATCGGAGGTTAGATGCGTTCGAGCACACACATATATACGCAATTGTCATCCTGTTTCGGTGTCAAAACTGTAGCGTTACATATCTCGCAATGTTTTCTTAACAAGGAACAGCTGGGGGTGGTCGACGTTTTTCAGGTCAACCGTCCGCGCCGTCAGACATGCTCACGTTCGCTCACACATACACATATATGTAGACGCGTACCCACACTCACTGATCTTGGTCGACTACCACCACGTTGGTTAAGTTGGGTTCTGTCTGTAGACATGATGATGATGATGTTTGTATTTTTAACGAAAATAACTGCTGGTGTTTTATTGACGATTGTGATTATGTTAATGGTAATAACAACTGTGATATTATTATTATTGTTATATTAATTGATGGCTTATTGGTTATGATAAACAGTAAAGATAGCCTTAATGATGATGGAAACAATATTCATAAGGACAATAAAAGCAATGTAAAATAATAATAATATCAATAATGACAATGGTAATTATGTTAATAGTTGTCTACATATGTGTGTATGTGTGAGCATGTCTGACGGCGCGGACGGCCGACCTGAAAAACGACAAGACCATTCCAACCTGTAGCTTGTTAAGAGAAAATTACTACATATCAAACGCTACTGTCTTGACACAGAAACAGAATGACAATTGCATATGTGTGTGTGTGTGTGTGCTCGATAGCATGGATGTGTAACTGCGCCTAACCTCAGATTATTTATATGCTTGTGTTTGTACGAACTAAAAATGCATATACCTGTATGCATGTGCCTCTATGTATAGACAAATAAGCAGAAATACATCTAATTTTGAAAATAATCATCTGTATAAGGTAAATCATTTGGATATATATATATATATATATATATATATATATATACAGGTAAAAAAATCCGTGCGTAAGTAATCCAAGTGGATCCTATTAACATAAAATATTAAAACTGATCCACAAAAGAGAGCTCAATATAATTTTTATTATAGAGCATATAAATGAATAACAATTAATGAGATCTAAACGAATTACCTCATACAGATGATCATTTCGTCCATAGGAAAGTATTTTTTTTTCCTGGACTTATCAATGCAAATATATTTACTTATATGAATAAACCGTTTCTTCAAGGAAACTTGAAAGTCAATGGAATAATATATATATATATATATATATATATATATATATATATATATATATATATATTCCTCATCGGTGAATTATTCACAAAAACTAATGCAAAAAACTTGATTAATGATTTAATTGGCGAGAAATCCATCGATCGTAAACAATTCAAATATAAAAAACCTCCGAATCCGTTATGAATGAAAAATGATCCTTGTTCTATACATTTCTGCCGGTATTGAGTTCTTATTTTTTTACTAAACGGATTAAAAATAAAAATATGATTTGAATTGTTTGCGAATCATGGATAACGCCAATGAAATCATTAATTACTTTTTGCATTAGTTTTTTACATAAAATGGATTGTGCAATATATTTATTCTTGTTTTGCCAAACATTAATCATGAATTTGTAAATTGATTGCACGTTTATCGTAATATATATATATATATATATATATATATATATATATATATATATCCCTCATCATTAGCACGACTCAGAGTTTCTTGTACATGACGCAATCATCACGTGCTGAGTAGAAACTGACCGTTATTTAAGTTAAACTTTAATAAAAACTTCTGATTAATGCCATGCTGGCGCAGTTCATATTATACGGGGATTTTTTTTTATTTTTATTTTAAGACAAAAAATATTGTATTAAAACTAGACGGGATTTATATTTCCTATTAACGATAAACATGGATTAATTGTATTTTATATAAAAAATAAATATTAAAATAAATAGATGTAAAACTATAAAAAAATAATATTTAAAATAAGCGGGATTTATATTTTAGATTAAACATAAACGCGGTAGTGTTTTTTTTTTTTTTTTAATTTTGTATAAAATAAACGGACTTAAAACTAAAAAAGGTATATCTTGTATTTAAAAATCTATCTCTGTCGGAATAATGAATTGCTATACAAGAAACAAATGGCCTCCTTAAAAAAAATGATTCTTATCTGTCAATGTACAACAATGGTCACCGTTAGGGAATCATAGAAACATGTCTTCCTGGAAACTAACGAAGCAAACCGTGACTCCTTCTGATTACAAGACAACCTCGCATAACCCCAGTGGAACTGCTTCCCTTTCCGAAACGCTTACATTCTCAAAGTCGCTGGATTTATTATCGAACCGGCTGAAGTTTCTGGAGTTGAGCACAATGATATCTAATAGTGATTTGGGCAAAACATGAATCTTTTCACAGTTGAAAAGAAAGTTTTTGAAGTTTAATCGTTAAATGAGTTTAAAGTGCAACACTTACGGCAACCAGTAAATCTCGTTCCATTAAATGCACTCATTACCCTTCATATTTTGAATGCAGCTTCTGATCCCAGAAGAATAGATAGCAGATCTGATATATTCATTGTTTCAAAGATTAAAAACTTCAAAACCTGGCAGTGTTAAATAAAATGGATTGTGCAAAAGGCTATATTTCTACTCTGATTCTTGTTTTTGCCAAAACATTTAATCAAATATTTAAAGACAAACGCTCACTAATTAATGCTGAAAACATTCGGAAAATCTTAGTTTTATTTAAGTCGGAAGTCGTGAAAGAAATATAGACGTTTTACAGAAAAAAAAATGTACCTATAATAGTAAAATAGAAAAGAACATGAAATTTGTATTACCCCTTTGAAAAAAAAAGTATCTTATTATCAGCAATCACCGTTGAAACTTGGAATAAAAAAAAATCGTCTATTGAATTATCCGAAAGAAAAAAAAAACACTATTTCTTGTGGAGTCCTTATCTATTTCTCCAAGAGAAAAGGAATAAGAGATTAGAACAACGGTGGAGGGGGGGGGCATTTCGGCTGATTCATGGCGTAATTCGAATCGAACATGGCAGCAAAATTGAATATTAAACATAAAACCGAAAACGCTGAGCACTTTGGACAATTAGAATAAGTTGGACGGACTTGATTCACTTATAAACTTGTCTACATAAACAGCTACGTTTTCCTCATAATTATCTACATATATTTATCTATTCTTATATATATATATATATATATATATATATATATATATATATTATGTGTATTTAGGCAGCATTTTTCGTCTATATTATTTAATGAAACATGCATGAATATATATATATATATATATATAGGTATCTATCTATCTATCTATATATATACATTTTACATAAAGAAGCATATATATATATATATATATATATAGGTTATATTTATACCTTTAAAAATGCGTACACTGCATTTTATAATATATATGAATATTCACATGCATGCATGCATACACACATATGCATACAAGAAATCAGGTCACAAGAACTCGTTCCTTATCTCTTTCTCTTTTTTCTCTCTCTATATATATATATATATATATATATATATATATATATATATATATATCTTGTTTAAATTTTACTGTATTTATATGGTGAATAGAGAATTTATAGGTAGAGAGAACGTGTATATAGGAATCAGCAATACTGGCGACTGTTAGTTTTCAAACACCTTTAGATGGCTGTATATATAGGTCACTAGGGTATTAAAAGGAGTGATTACGGAAGAAAGTGGCGCTTCTAATTTCCTTTTTTAATGTATAAGGATAATTTTTTTTACTGCCATGCAATCTCGATTATCTCGATTTATGCTGGTTGGGTGGTTGGAGGAAGCGTGTTTGCAAACATGATTATGGTTAATTTTGTTTTGGTCATGAATTCGAGTGGTTTGCTGATAGAAAGGTATTTCGGGTAAAACGGAAAAAAACCTTATAATAATAGAAATTGTGAATTACTACATTATTATATAATATTCAAAAATCTAGCGTCGCATTACTGCATGTTCAACAAATTCTTAACTGTTAATAATAGCACACATTTTTTAATAAAACATCTTTCGACAAGACACGCGATCACATTAATTTTCGTGTTGGAATTTTACCCATCTGTGCCTGAGGATGGTAAATGTTTTTACCGAAAGTACTTGCAAGCAATATGGACGAACATCTAATCCATTGTACAATTAATAAAAACAAGGATCGTGTTGTTCAGCGAGTGGTCAGTGAGTTAATGCCTTCTTAAACTGTTAGCGAAGTGAGTTCGCCATTAATTACATTAACTTTATTGATTTATTCTTTGAAT